TATGAGTAACTTTATTACAATAATATAATTAGTATTATTATTAGAGTAAAACGCTAACTCATAATTCAACTTGGAGTGTTTCTCATTCGCAAGCCAAAGACCAAGTGCAACAGAGATAGGAAACCAACACCAACCGTATTGGTCTCCACGTGAGTGTCCCTCCTTTATCGTTTTCAATTTTTCCTCTTATTTTGGAGTTTTTTTTACCCTCATTATTCCATACTCCCTAATTAATTTAGTCAACATTTTTTTTGGTGTTAAATATTGTCAATATTTCTTCCTTCTATCAAAAAGGTGTGATCAAGCAATAAATAATCATCAAGCAACATAATAATAATCATCATAATGATAACAATTATAAATATTAATAATTAAAATAATCGTGTTAAAGCATAATAATAGCAAGATCCTATGAGGTAAGCTAACAGAAATTAGTTACTTTGAAAATTTCCTAATGAACTAATCATATTGCCGGTTGAAGAACATCCCATCATCATAATTACGAGTATCATTTATCTAAACCTCCAATTAGATAATCTAGTCTTTTCAAATATCAAAATGATAACTAAAATATGCTTGATTTATAGATTATTTGGGTGGTTTGATAATTATCGCTGATGCCAAACTTGTTGATAGAAGAAAGAATTGGAAAATAATATCGTTGGTTCCTATTTATTATGTGAATATGAATTATAGAAGAAAAAAAAAAACATTTTGTCTCGCCCTTTTAAAAAGTTTTTAGTTAGAAAGGAATGTGACATATTTCGTATAAAAGGATGCTTAGCCTAAATATTACATTTCAATTTTATACGGGGTTTAAACTACACCTTCCTCGCAATTTGCTTCCTCATTGTTATAGTCAATCGAACTCCATCATCCTAGTCCTTGTTTCGTGGTCACAACTCTAGGTTCTCCGTTGCTCTTGTTGGTCTCCGTTGTTAATGTCCTTGTATCACTCTTTATGGTCTCAGTTGGCTTCCCACAAAACCTTGTTTTCTCTTCTATTTTCTATTATAATTTTATTTATTTATTTTGGTTTTTTGGTATTCTATTTCGTATAAACCACTAATATTTTTTTTTAAAAAAAAACCACTAATTATTGTAATTGGTCTTTTAATTTCTTTGTGATATAGAGACTATTAGCAGTTGTATACTCTTTGAAAACTCATAATATTCAATTTCAAAAACTTCTACTGATTGACCACTTATGTTATCATGCAGTCTATGCTCCAACACTGCAATACACCACCAATGACTTGGAGTAATTAATATTCTACTCTCTTTTTAAAAAATAAAAATAAAAATAAAAATAAATTATTATCGCAATAAATTACTGTTGGAGATTTGCCTACTTGCCTAAGAGAAGAGAAGAGGTAAACTACAAGTGACACAAATTGTACTAAAAATGACCAATAATTGTCACATGTCGGATAAACCATTTTAGATCTCAAAAAGTAAGTCACAATTAGTAAAAGCTCCGTCCTTTTTTCTGGGGGACTCATGTGATCTGTTTGGTCTATTTCAAGATTCTAATTACTAATTACTTAATTAGGGTATCCAACTCTCTATCTTTAAGAATCCCTCAAACACAAATATACAATCAATGAACGAACATTTTGTTACTTGGTCAATAGTTTCATCCGTAACTGAGTATGTTGGATTACTCATTGCCAATGTGTTGTCAATCACCAAGTACTATTATAGGCGATAAGTACTTTTGTTGATTACTTTAAAAGACGTATAGTCATGTAAACTTGGTCGTATACAACTCATAAGTGTAGCGGGTGATGTAACAACACACTTAAATCACACTAAAATATGTGTTATAAGAAATGCTTCATGAACTTTATTACTCCGTACCACTTTTGAGCTTAGCACTGAATGCTTTGAAAATTAGTGAAGGTTAGTAGATGATAAGATGGATAGACATTACCTTAATACATACTTCAATATATTGTTTCTGCTCTTTAGGGAAAGATTGATATGACCGGATCAACATCTTACACGTTGACTCATATCTATATTCGTCATATATAATATCGTTTCAAAATAAACTATTGTTAATATTTTGCTAATTTACTTGAGATGCTATTAATCGGTGAGTTTTCTACCACAATACTATTCATCATATTAGTATTAGGGATTTTTTTTTTCCTATTATCGTGGTTAATATTGCATTTTGAAATATATAATGATGACAATAAATAATTAGACCATACCTTTGAAAATTTTGTATCGAATACCTATTTATAGGAGAAGCTAATAATATAGCTAGCTATGGTATTACGTATTTAAATTAATACTAAATTCTTTCATAATATACTTTATTAGTTCTTTAATATTTGTTAATTTATATTCAGATGTTAATAAAATTATAATATACCTAGTATTAACATGCAAAATGTTATTGAACTCACTTAATACTCCGTACTTTATTCGTTCTTTTATACTAGCTAGAGTAAGACCCATTATATTTGAACTCACTTATTAGCTTTTGAGTTTATTTTTATTCATTAAGATTCATTAATTTTAAAATTAAAGCACAAGGTCTATCTACTAACTATAAAATTAGATTAAATTATGTCTAATATATTACAATCTGCATTCAATTATTAAAAGATCATCATTTTATAAGAATTTCTTAGTTACAAAATCCTTCATGGACCAGATTTTTTTTTTTACTTCTATTTTATTTAGAATGGACCACATTTAAAAACAAAGAAAAAAAATAATCTTTCTTTAGGTTCTACGTACTACATCGAACTGATCCCAATAATTAGGTGAGTTTATCTTGGGTAGAAGTACTTAGTTGGAGGAACTTGGAAGTGGTAAAGGAGAAGGACCACAAACAAAATATAATTACGTTATAATTTAATATAATCCATAAAGCTTTCATCATTGTCTTTAATGTAAAATTGAGAAATATTTTTGGAATATCTTCACTTAAGTAAGTTTTGTTCTTCATTAAAGTTAAATTAATTTCATAAATTCTAAATCACACTTGAAACTTTACCAAACTTTGTTTATTTTATTTTCTTGTCTAACATTAGTTGATAAGTATTATTATTAGAAGCATAAAGAGATTGACTCTTCCAAATTGGCAAAGGTCGCTATTAAAACCTTTATTATAAATTAATTATTAGTTAATTATACTTTATTATAGATTAAAGCATGGGATTAATTAAAATACAGTAACCAACAGGTGTCCATCGGTAAAGTGAATGATACCAAATCTACCTTCATGCCTAATTTTTGCTAAGACAGACAGACAATACACATAACATACAATTCATTGGTTTGTCTTCAACTATTTGTGTCTAATCCTTTATTAGTCTAGCAATAGGAGATACATTTATAGGGTTATTAGCATATAATGCTAGCTTAGTCGCGCTTATCCACTTGATTAAAAAGAGGTTCTTAACACGGAGTATTAGTTATTAATTATTAAACATAATTATTATTATGTAATTAAAAAGATGAAGGAAAATTATCAAAGCAATGATATAAGCTTGCACCCATGATCATTATTTCATTACTTGTGATTTTCATTGGTGATCATTTATAAGGTGGTTGCCTCTTCTAGTTTAAATTATATTGTATTATTTGCTTTTTGGTTACATACTAGGATGTCATTAGAGAGCTAATTAGTATTTGCCAGCTACATTTCCTTCGTACAATTTCTAAATTAATTTATATATAATTTACTTGTGTGACTTATATTAGTGTCTCACTGAGCTAAACTAATTGACTAATAGAAAATTCAAACTTATTGATGGTGATTCAATTATTGCTTGTATATACACTACTTATAAACTTGACTTTATTATTTTAAACTACAGTATCAAATTCAGTTGTTAATTAGCTAACTACTATTATGAGAGATTTTCCTGAGGGTTGCTAATTAACCTATTGAAGATACTTCCCCGTCCCTAATTACATTCCTACTTCTAGCATTTGTTCCTCACATAATAGAGAGAAATAGAAATGTAATTTAGAGACGGAGGGAGTACTCATTAATGATAGACATCGGTTTGTATTCTACAAGATTGCCAGATTTATTAAAAATAATAATAATAATAATAATATATAGAGTGGTAATTGGAAAATCTCCCCTCCAACAATTAATTTATCAAAGTTGAGGAAAAAGTCTAGAGTGAGGGCAAAATTTTAATTTTTATACTACGTATATATTAACCAATACATACGGTGTTTGTGTTTTGTGCTTTTCGGACTATATTATGAGAGTTTGTGCTTCAATGATATGACCTAATAGTAGAAATCCCTAGCTAACAACTGAGTTTGAATTGTGAACAAAATAACATGTGTGGCTTTAGGGTTTGTTCACATTTACTGAACTGAACTGATTGGAGCTGAACTGAACTGATTAGAGCTGAACTGATTAGAGCTGAACTGAACTGAATTGAGCTGAAATGAATATTTTACGAGAGAGGAAAATTAAGAGCTGAACTGAACTGGACTGATTGGAGCTGAACTGAACTGAACTGATTGGAGCTGAACTGAACTGAACTGATTAGAGCTGAACTGAACTATACTGAACTGAATTAAGTAAATGTGAACATGCCCTTAATTATAAGTTTTTTAACCCACCAAAGCATTCAGACATCTTGTCCGAACCATATATTATTTCACAAAACTTTCAATTTTGGACGATTTATTTGACTTATGTCACTCATCTATTGATTATCTGGGAACGAATATGAAGACAAATATCAAGTAATTATTGGTCAACACTAGATTATATTTTTATGCCCCAAAAACTGTTAGATTATGTAAATAATCAAGTATATAATTAGTTTGTAAATTACTAATGTAGCCTTAACCCTAACCTAGTATACGCTTGTATTATATATTGACTTTTGATCAATGAGAAAGCCACGGCAAATATTCTCTCATCTCTCACATTCTCTCATGGTATCACGAGTCTAGGTTTTTCAATCCGAAACCCTAACTCTTCTGCTCATTTCTTCTTCTCTTCTTCAATGGCCGATTCTAGCAAACTCCATCCGGCCACTACTGTTAACAACATCAAAGCATGTATTCCGGTGACTCTGGACTACAAGGGAACTCAATACAACCTATGCAAGACTCTTTTTCAACTCCACTGCCGTGCAAACATGGTAATTGATTTTATCATTCCTCCTCCGGTTGATCCCTCTGCCAAGAAACCCGACCAAACTGCTGCCGATTTGGCTTTCTTGCAACGCCTTGATGACATTGTTAGACAGTGGATTTATGGGACAATATCCTTTGACTTATTCAACACCATCGCCAACCCCGATGACAAGGCTGTCAACGCTTGGAAAAGGTTGGAGAATTTCTTCCATAATAACAAATCTGCTCGTGCTTTAACCCTTGATGCGCAATTCACAAACACCAAACTTGACCAATTTGATGGTGTTAAATCATATTGCTCACATCTCAAAGCCCTTGCGGATAGTATGAAAAACGTTGGTGACACAGTCTCCGACAATCGAATGGCTTTGCAACTTTTGAAGGGTCTCTCGGAGGAGTATAAACCCTTTCGAACGTCCGTTCGTCATCTCGATCCCCTTCCTTCCTTTGATGCGTTGCGTTCCATGCTCGAACTTGAGGAGCAAACCAATGCATCCGACATGTCCAGTGAAATCCATGAGGAGGCGCATCTATCTCATACCTCTTCCTCGGCTTCACAATCTGTTGGAGATTAATCTCAAAATTCAGCACAATCTCGTGGTGGAAATTCTCGCAACAGTGGTCGGAAAAATAAGGGAAAAGGCGGTGGTGGAAAGGGAAAAACTACCACTGCCGGGGGTGCTGGCCGGAACACCCAGCAGCAGCAGCAGCCCCCGCAGCAGCAGCAGCGCTGGGGTCCTGCTTCCCAACAGCAGCAACAGCCTGGGCAGGGGCGGATGATGCCCCCTCCTTGGCAGTACTGGAATGCAGGGCCTTGGGCGTCTCCTCCCTGACCTTACCCTACACAAGGGCCTGCTTCATATCAGTGGAAGCCACGGCTGGCCGCTTCCCAAGGTCAGCAGCCGGGTCTTCTTGGTTCCAAACCTCCGCAAGCTTATTTCATGGGAAATTCATCCTCCTCTTCGGGTTATGCTCCGACGAATATTGAACAAGATATGCATACCTTCTCCATTGCCTATCCGAACTACTACATGGACACCGGTGCTACATCGCATATGACTAATTCCCAAGGTAATTTGTCTTCATATGTCAATTTGAGCAATAACATTAATAATTCTATTATTGTTGGTGATGGTAGCAAAGTTCCGATTAAAGGTTATGGTCATGAATCTCTAAACCAAAACACACTTCAACTCAAAAATGTCCTTCACGTTCCTAATCTCATCAAAAATCTAATTTCTGTTAGAAAATTCACTACCGATAATAGTGTTTCAATTGAGTTTGATCCTTTTGGGTTTTCTGTGAAGGATTTGCAGACGGGGAGAAAAATAGTGAGATGTAATAGCAGTGGCGATCTATATCCCTTCTTCTCGGATCGTCAAGTCCTTTCATGTTCCACTCCGTCAGCTTTTGCAGTTATTTCTCCTAGTATGTGGCATTCCCGCTTAGGTCATCCGGGAAATGCAGTCTTAGGTTCTTTGCGTAGTAGTGAATTAATCAAATGTAATAAGGCTCGTCTTGATGTTTGTCACTCTTGTCCTTTGGGAAAATTAATAAAATTGCCTTTTTACAATTCGCATTCTCATACTACTATGCCATTTGACATTATTCATAGTGATTTATGGACATCTCCCGTATCTAGTTCTCTTGGGCACAAATATTATGTTCTTTTTCTTGATGATTACACGAATTTTTTATGGACTTTCCCGATTGCCTCTAAATCTCAAGTCTATGACTTATTTCTTCGTGTCCGAACCTATATTCACACCCAATTTGAACGGGAAGTGAAAGCTTTCCAATGTGACAATGGAACTGAATTTAAAAATGACCCTTTTATTAAATTTGGTCACCAACATGGAATGGTTTTCCGCTTGTCTTGTCCATATTCTTCACCTCAAAATGGTAAATCCGAATGAAAAATTAAGACCATTAATAATATCGTTCGTACCCTTCTTTGTCATGCTTCTATGCCTCCCACTTTTTGGCATCATGCTTTAGAGATGGCAACTTATCTTCACAATATCCTACCTACAAAACTTCTCGACTTCAAGTCCCCTACTCAAATTTTATATTAAAAACATCCTGATTATTCACATCTTAGGGTGTTCGGTTGCTTATGTTACCCCCTTTTTCCCTCCACTAAGGTAAACAAACTTCAACCACGTTCTACACCATGTGTTTTTCTTGGCTATCCAAGTAATCATCGGGGTTACAAATGTTATGATATTTCGAGTGAGCGTATAATCATTGCGAGACATGTATGGTTCGATGAGTCTGTCTTCCCTTTCTCTAAGGTTCATTCCCCTCAAGCTCATACTTATGACTTCTTAAGTGAAGATTTGAGTCCTCTTAATCATTCCTTGCTTCGGCAAACTTCCTCAAATCCTTTCCAAGCCACCTCCCCATTGATGTGCTTAATTCAGGCATTGACCCAAGTAACTTATATTGACTTTGTTTGTAACTTTCGATATGATAGAATTAAGTCAACTTCAACAAGAGATTTCAACAAAAAGCACATCATGCTATTGATTTTGCAGCTAGCTGATGTAAACTTCAAAAGATGAAACAAATGGTTGCTGGTCTACGGGACATAACACGTATACCAGCCAACTCTAAACCCAAATAATGTTAATAAATAATGATTAGATTGATATATTATCTGGAGATATAGTAAATAATTAAGTCTGTCTTTGCTCCTGATCAGTCTTGTATGAACATATATGTAGACGATACGTATTCATTTAATTATAATTAATCAATCTATGTCATTGTCGTCGTAAAATGTGAAGGCAAATTTAAAGTATTTTGCAATTTCTACTCTGTAATAATAAAGTATACACAAAATAAGATTTTCTATTTTCCCGTGTTTAACCAATCGACAATATGAAGGTTTGTAAGTAACTATAGAGGCAGGGGACAATCAGTTGCTTGATTTGAAGATTATTTGTTCTCATTATGCAATTTGACATTCGATGCTAAAAATAGCAATCAATTCTTTTATTTATTTACTTTATTTTGGTTAGTTAATATTTTCATTAATACGGAGTAATAGTAGTAAAAATCTACTCCATGATGTCCAAAAATAAATTTACTGTAGAAATTGACTCCGTACCAGTCTACCAGAGTATCTTCAACAGTGGATAAAAAAGGTAAGAGTAATATTTGTGAATTTTAAGAAAAAACTCAAAAAAAGTAAAACGACAGCCATACACGTGGAAAAGGATGTACGGTAAAACACAACAAATCACGTGGTAACAATAGGATGGTACAGTGTGCTGACATAGACCAATCAAGGGGGACCACCTGTAAACCTTTGAGTCTAAAATTACATATTTACAATTTTACCCCTGATTTTAACAGAGGTATCAGTCCACCAGGATATTTCCCCCACCACGTTTTAATAAGATCCCACCAATTGGTCAAGTAATCACTGCCTCTGTTGAATGCTTCTATACTTCGTTCTATCTCTCTCACTAAATATCTTGTGTTTTATTATGCTGCTCCTCTATGCCTCCAATAGTACATACTCCCTGTATTTTCTTTTATTTGCATCAGTTTCACCGGTACAATTGATGAGGCACAATTTTAATCATTAATGTCTTTAATTGTCTATTAATAAAAATTATAACAAAATTATATTATGAAACTAGCTACTCCGTAGACATTATGACTAATCTAATGATATATTATATAATAACATTTATTTATATTATAGAGGTGAAAAAATTAAGTCGATCATGGTATGCGAATAGTGCAAAAATCAAAGTGATGCATTTAAGGAAAAAAACAGAGAGAGAGAGAGAGAGAGTACTTTTCCGTTTCTTTATGGTTGCAACATACACTTTATCACGATACTTGAGATAAGTGGATCACACATGATATAATACACTTAAAATGGGGATAAAAGTTTAGACCGTTAGAACTTAGATTTATAATCAAGTGAGCCATGAGGTTTAAATAAAGGTAATAGTACAATTTTCACTATAAAAACTTTTCTTTTATAGCGTGTTGCAACTATTGTGAAATTTTTATTTTAGGAAAATGTTGCAATCATAAAATAATGGAGGAAATATTTTTTTAAGTGTTACTCCCTCTCTCTCTTTTTTTTTTTCTTTTTTTTTTAATGCATTTTACACTATTCACATACTATAGTTGACTTAATTTTTTCACCTCTATATTATATAACATATTATTATATTCATCATAATGTCTAGTTTCATAATATAATTTTGTTATAATTTTTACTAATTAATAATTAAAGATATTGATGGTCAAAGTTGCGTCTCTGTGTCGGTCAAACTGATGCGAATAAAAAAAAAAGGGAGTATAATTTTTTTTTTTTTATTGTAAATATATATATATATGCATGTTTTGATGATGACCATAGTCGGTTCAGAAAAGCACAACAATTTATATTGTAATACTCCCTTCGTCTCTAAAAAAGTTCTTCCCATTTAAATTGGTTGCCAACACCAAACTTTGATCATAAATATATTATTACTCGCTCATTAGTGAAAAACACAAGTATATAATTGAATAACTACTCCATACAATATATCCTTATGTGGCAAGATCCCCTAATACGTAGTATTTGAATGTTTCCCACTTCCTTTACATCATTAGATGCTTCATTATTTTGGGGGAAGTGTATGAAGTTAATATTGTATACTATAAAGATAAATTGTTCCTCTCCCATAAAATATAGTTGTATAATTTATTAACGTGTTAATTACATCAACGTTTACATTATGATATACTCCGTGTAAATTTTGCTAATAAAATAATAAATAAAAAAGCCAAATCTTAAGTCTTATGTTTTAAAACGAGGAGTGTAGGTAAAATTCTAAACGCACGTACAAGCCTACAAGGCAGTAGAATTTATTCCAGTTCAAAATTGACATTTAAAATAAACAATTGACACAATCTAGCTTAAAATTTTTAAAATTAACCAACTAATCATGTGTTGAAAACTTGAAACCTATACTTATTTCTATAAATAGAACATCTGAAGTGTATAACATTAACCCTGTGTATTTATTACTCGTATATAATTATATGCATTATTAAGATTTGATATTGATGAAGCATGTATTGACACGTACAAATCTAACAAAGTTTTACATATAATTAAATAAACAACTCTTAAAGTGATAATTGCAACAATTTATAATTTAAACATTATGAATCTGTTAAAATTATACATGATGCAATGATCATGATCATATATTTTAAAATCGGTCTACTGGAATAAAGGATAGATGTAAATTGATGAGAGATTCAACCTCAAACACTAAAGTAAACAATAATACTCCATCCTCAAATCATTTGCATGCATTGCTTCTACGTACACCATCTTCATGGAGTACAAGGAACTTAGGAACTCATGTGTAAAATGTGAGATAATAAAGTAGAGTATGTCAAAGGACATAGGCTAATAGGTATCAAGAGATGCCAACAAAAACCACCTAACAAGGAGAGTTAAGATAATTCATACTTCATATTCCCTCCGTTTTTTTTATATGCATCACTTGGGAATGCACATAATTTTAGGAGATAAATATAATATTGTGAGTGGGTGAATAAATTATTATAATAAAAGTATTATGGGGACCATGAAAGAGAAAGTATGTGAGAGAGAATAGATATTTTATTATTTAAGTGGGGACATAGAAGAGAGAGAAATGATAAAATAATTTGAATGGGGTTTAAAGTAAGAGAGAGAAATAATAAAATATAGTATAACTTTACCAAATATAAAAGTGATGCATCTAAAAAATACACCCATAAAAGAAAAGTGATGCATATAAAAAAACGGAGGGGGTATATAGCTGTG